TGTGCACAAAGCTGGATTGGCTGGGATTGCTCGTAGGGTCCACCTACGTTACTCGTTCAACTAAGTTGGCAGTCTCCCACGGAGAGCGTCATCCCTTCCCCTGTCAGACGGACATCTAAAAGGTCCTTTACGCCAAAGGACCTTTAGCGTAAATGTCATCTAGGCAGTGCCACGCGGCAACTCAAATGGCATTTAGCGTCCTTTTCGTGAAACTGAGTGCCCGCAACTCCTTTATGGCTACTAAATGCATACTCTCGTCAGCAGCGGCCTGCACTTGAGAAGCGAATTGAAATAAAAGATCGTACTGATATCAAAATTCAATGTTATTGTATGCTTCTTATGGAAAAAAGATCGTGTTTCGCGTACACTCTGTATACAGACCTCGCTCTACTAATAGTTTTGTGTACTCACGGCCCCAGCTCTATGGTAGGCCTCGTCGTCCCGCTGCTCGCCTGCTCGCGTCGTCCGCTTCGGCACTTCGGTTTTCCTCCTCTCGATTTTCCTTACAACCATAGTTATATAGCTCTTAGTTGTCTACTTTATATTTTATCATTCTTTAATAGTCTATTGCTAACTGTTTTTTTGTACACATATATTTCTGTATCTCTCTAGCGTCGTGCGATATGTCGAACAACGGAAAAGCGTCCACGGCTAGGAAGGGTTACAACCGAAAAAAAAGCGAAAAAATTAGACAAAGGACGAGTGAGAGGAATGTACATACACGACAAGTGGTGACTCACAACTGAATTTTAATTAGAAGAAGCATGAAACCCTCGAACATCCAAAACACGTAACACCGCCAATTTTAGCCATGTGATTAGAATCTTGCTTCGTAACGACAGGTGTAAGCAATCTCGCTGCCAAACAAGGCAATGGAGGGCGAACTGACACACTTAAGGCTTGTTCACACATGTAGCGGAGCGCTACAAGCATAGCGCTGACCTCGCGCTAAGCGCGTGCTGACGGGAGCGTTCACCAGCTTTGTGTCGCACCGTCAATTCTGCTGTTCATGGCAGACAATAAGTAGCAGACGACACGTGAGAAGCGCTACATTAGCGCTTCGCTGCATGTGTGAACCGGCCTATAGGCTCCTCGTATCGTGACATGACCAAGGCCTCCGTAATCTCCCTCGTTCTTTGAATAGTGCTCCGCGCAACACAATGGCAGTGTGAGTAAAGAGGGGCGCACACCCGCACCTGTCACAATACTGCCAAGTGGCCGGAGGGAGAAGATCTCGTGGCCAGATCATGCTCCCTTAAGCTATCATCAATGAAGCTGCCTGACTGCCCCACATATACTTTTCCACGCGACAACAGGATCTTATATACCGTATTTTCCGGATTATAGACTGCGGACTATACACGTTTGAAAGTTGAAATGTTAGGTTGTGCAGACTATCTACGCGGGTGGACTATACGGGATTTTTGTTTTTCAATGTCGTTGATTATAACGAGACGAGACGGATTTTGTGAAGGAGAGACTATGTTAATAATGATTTATGTATGTTTATAAATACTTCTTTGTGAGCTAAGAAAGCAGACATTTGTCAAGGTGTGCGGTCTATGAGAAGATTTTCGTGTCGACTGAGCACCGGTGCGGAGGACTATGCACCGGGTGCGGACTATCTCCGGAGAATACGGTACTACCCAGACTTCAAACTTCACAAATTGTTTTTTTATGTCTCTTTGCACACCTCACCCCCGTCTTCCCCCCCCCCCCCCCCCTCCTCCCCCCTCCCCTCCCGGTCGATCCTGCCACACAACTTTTCCAGCTTCCTAGGAGCGGCAAACAACACTGGAACCTGGTGTTGGCTTGCCACTTTTTTAATTCCATGGCTGACCTTGTGACTATAGGGAAGCACTACCGGTCGAACGCTGGTGGAAACTAACTCCAATGTGGCAACTAACTAGTCGTAAAAGAGAAAACCGAGGAGTAAAAAAAAAGTAACTGTTACAAGTAATTTCACTGCTTACTGAGTTTACTTTCGTAATTGCTATTTATTAGAGGTAATCGAGCGGTTACTCTAAAAGCAATCGATTTCGAGCAATTTGATTGGTCGCGATTCTGCGCACGGTCAACTTTGGCAACGTACAGCGGCTGTCAGAATTCATTTTATGGACGCAAACTGAAGCCAAGATACGATTTGTATTTTGTCCGATAAGTGATGCGCTAAAGCAGCGAAGCGGGCGAGTTTGTTCATGACTTATAAAATTGAAAGCGCTAACAAAGGCAAGGACAAAAAACGAAGCGCTCGTCCTGTTCGTCTTTCTTGTCCTTGTCTTTGTTGCCGCTTTTAATTTTATAAATTGACGCGCTTTTTTTGTGCGGTGACTGCGAAAAAAACGACGGCAGGAATTTTGACATATCCGCGAATTTGGTCATTTATTACGGCGCTATCGCATTAGCTTTTGCTGTAGTACAAAGACGTGGGAACAGATACAGAAGTTCAATATTGATCGTGGAATCAATATTTCCCCGTGCCTGGCAACAAACCCGAATCACCGCGAAAGTAGATAAAAACGAAATCGCTAGTCTGCAATTGGTGGCCCGCAGGAAAGGGAAGCATCTGCGCCGAGTCGGGAACCGCCAGACGTCTTCTTCTCAAAATCAGTTCCCGGTTTTATGTAAAACAACTTTACGCTCACATACAATATTCATACGTGTGTGGTTACGAAGTCAATTGTTATATTGAAACGTGTTTCTCGGCAGGTTGTCCGCTGAAACGTTCCTTCCATCCCAGTTTTTCAGCCCTATTAATTCTTTGGACAGCTCTCCGTTTCTCTTTCCGACGCCCCTAAAGAGTCTGCATGGTGCCCGTGTCTTTCAAAAGGAGCTACGAAACTTGTATCAATCGGCTGGATCTCGTCGAAAGCAGGTTCAAGACCCGAAATGTCGAGGGCGTTTCCTCCCTATTCAGCCTGTCAACCAAGAGTTAGGCCAGCTGGCCTAAAACTTCATAAGTTGAGGTATGTAATATCGGCCGTGGTGCCTTTTTGTCAAGCACCACTCCTAAGAACCCTCGATTTCTCCTCATACGCGGCAATAAAAAAAGTAGGGTTCCTCGCCGAGGGCTCCTATAATATTTTATAATATAGTATAAAATAAAGAAAATAACTTCTTTGAAATGTACTGCATTATGCATTTGAAATAAACAATTTCATATTTTTGAAATGTGGGTTTTAGGAAACGTAATTCGGCGCTAGAAAATCTCCGGCCATGTAGCCGAAAGCGGTTCGACGAAGTATATGCCGACGTTCTTGACTGCGTTTCATGGTAAGTGCGAGCGAAGCCAGTAGAGCGTGCGCCACGATATGAAAGGGTTTGCGGAGCACACCATCTCGTGCAGCGAAAGCGCCTTTGAAGTTCTTTCAAGGCGCCCCAGCCCGGCTTGAGACTCTAGGAGTAGGGATGCCAGCTTGTGCCGTCGGAACATCTTGGGTGGCGCTTTCTACTTCTGCTGTTGAAAGCCAGCGTTCGGCTCGTCTTCTCATTTCTTGGAGTGTCGACGTGGGCGAGTTGGCTTAAGCAAGAAATGAAACGGCGCGACAAACAACGAAGACGGGATACTGTTTGACATGCGCCATTTAGAATTCTATACATTCATAAGGAGATCACGTGTATTCATATTGTTACGCGTCATATTTCTTTTACTTTCTCACAAAACGTTGCTGTTTGTAAGGGTCTGCTTTCTCAAGCTGTCAACGACAGCTTTCTCATTTTGGGACCCCCAACACCGTGTTGAAAAATAAAATTGAATTGAATTGATTTGAAGTACATAGGACGAGCGCTGTGTACTTCTCTCCCGTTGTGGTTGTTTTGCGCGCTGTTTCATTTATCTCATTTTTTCTACGCGACTTTACTAAGGGAGGTGTAATAGCGCAGGCTCTCTGGTAACTGGTCATAAAACTCGGAGACATAAAAAAAAAGAAAAAAAAAAAAAACAAAAAAACGGAACGAAGGCTTAAGAGACGTCGTGGAGTTGAACTGGACGCAACAGGTCCTTTTGAAATTTCTGCGCGTCTCTTCTCTTGTGGCTTCTATGAATCCATGTTGTTAGCGGTTGGCGCCATGTAACAGTTGTCTCGGGGACTCTGTCATTCCTGCCGTATCAGCCTCTCGCCCAGTCCGCTCTGAACGCAACGTACGCAACCGCCTGACCCAGACATCATGCGTTTATCAGCTTTCATCAGCACCGTTGAAGGACAGTAGACAGTCATTCCATCGCTTCCCCGAAGAAGGTCAAGCTTCTGGAAGCTCGCTTACAAGTTACACTTCGCCACAGCCGCAGGTTGGAAACATAGCGAATAAAAATCGGGGCAAACCATTTTGAGTCCAATGATTGCCTGGTGAAACCCGAGCGTTGTGCATTGAGCTGGCACGTGGCATGGCACGACCTGCTGTAGATGCCATGTTTCCCTTATAGTGGCGGTGGAGTCGCGAATAAGGGCACTGATGCGGACTTGGTGCAGACGCAATTTGAATGCGGATGAAAGAGCGAGGCTTTAGCGGAGAAAGTCGTGAGACAATCTTCCGCCGGTGAGAGTCACCGCTGCCAGACTTGAGGTATATTCCCGCTAGATGTGGCTGAATTCGCCGCGAGTCTCGCAACCTTTCCCGAGAAGTGTATATCTCCCGCGGAAGGCGCGCTTCTCGGTTCCAGCACTCGGTTTCAGCACGCGACCTTGCAGATGGCGAGAGCTACGGCGAAGCGAACCACTCGGATGGTCGGAGCGCGGCCCGGGGCAAGGTACCATCGGGCTCATTTCGAGAGCAGTCATGTGCTTCATCACTCCGTCGGATCTGTTTGGCTGGAGCTCTAATAGTTGGCCGCTTGTCAAGTTACGCTGAAGCGCTCTCGTGCTAATGACGGCTGTTCGACACTGTTTGCATTCTGACGCAATGGCCGTGCACGCGGAGGAAGCGAGTGGCAGTGCCAATTTGTCGTTAATTATGGCGTTATAGTAATGTGCTATCTATTCCCTTTTCTGGCAGCCGGCAGCATGGCGATGAGGGTGACGGAGCGGCGCCAGCGGCATCGCAAGGATGTGGTGAGACCCTCGAATTACTTAGCGGCGTTTGTGCGTTTTGGAACCCCGAGAACGAAGCAAGGTTCATAGGCTGAGACAAATACTTCTTACAAGCTTTGGTTTTAAGGGAGTAGGTATTTCGTAAAACAACACTGTTCGCATCTGAAACGTGTACGTCTTGCAAAAATAACGAGTGACTAATCCTAAATGCGCGTACAAACTCGAAGGGGGAAATCCGCAATTCACCGAGAGCGGTCGAACCCATTTTTCTAGCGTTTTTGGAAGTAAAACTGGGTATAGTCGCTTTCTGAACCAGTGACAGGACCTCCGTGGAAATCAGCCTGAAAAACTGGGAAACATTGACACCGGTGAGGGGAAGTTATGTTTGCAGTGGACGATTCTACGTTTTCAAATGTGGAAATAAAACATAACGAAGCAGAGCAAAGAAAATCCCATACACTTAGTTTTTTCTTCTTCTTAGCCTCGCTCTCTAAATACGCACATATCATATCGTCCAATGTTGGCCGGTTCGTAACATTTAACTCGTCAGACAAATCAGCGCATGAAAACTGAAAATCCTAATCATATCTTGGACTACAAAAGTTTTTCGGAAATAAAATGGGGAACCCGGTTGCGGTAGAGCGCCATTCTGGGAGACGCGTATTCAGCAGCTAAAGTGAAGGCCCATCCTACTGCTTAACACATCAACGGTTATTTCTGGGGAGCATCTGTCACCTTGTATGGTTGCCTTTTTGCTGCATGAAATAAGCGGTTTCTCCAATCGAAGGCTTGCATTCACTGACGTCAGCTGTCATTGCGTTGGCCTTGTTGCTGGGCGCGTACCTTCGACAGCCTACATTTTGCATCATCGAATTTGTTTATCTCGGCAAGAACAAGAGAAATGACCAGAAGTGGAATGGGATGACACCAACCAACAAGCCACGTAACAATCTATCCGTTTTCGGTGAGCCGATGCCAATTCGCTGTGACAACTAGGTTGCAGAAGTGTAGTAAGTTGGGCGAGCTGGTATGATGACATGATGAACAGAACAGCGCACACAAAGACAAGGTCTTTCAGAACGGTTTCTTCTTCTTTCTTTTGTGTATAAATTCAGTTGCGAGTCAGCGCTTGTGTGTCCTGCATGTTCCTTTTCTCTGCCCTTGTCTTTGTGTGCGCTGTTCTGTTCATCATGACAACTAGGTTGCTTTATAAAAACATTTCTTGTATTCCAAGAGTTTGTTATCCACCAGCGCCGAAACAAGCGCACATCTTAGAGCTTATGCTTGGCGGCATTGGAAAATAATTATCCTTTCTCGAAATACGCGTGAAAAATAACATAATTGTAAGAGATCTTGCGAGATAAGAACTATTGATTAGCTGATTGCACACACAGTACAAAATACGCTAAAGTTAGCGAGGAATGTTTTTGGTACGACGGCGTTCATCGCGATCTTCGACCCTTTCGAAGCCTAGAGGATTTGAAAGGACCGAAATGGAAATTGGCACGGCAACAAAGACCAATCAGCCAATCAATTTACGAGGTTCTGCTCGTCTGTTTGTTAGAATTTGTTCAGCAGGCAGGGAACGCAGTGAAGCTACTTTCCCAGGATCTAGTGATTTTACCTGAATTTAGAAAAAAATTGACGTGACGTGACCTGAACACCAATTGAGTTTCCCCGCTGAATTTATCAGGAAAATTTTCGCTAAATTTCTCTCTAAATTTAGTGGGAAAATTTTCGCTGAAATTTTCGCCAAATTCAGCGGGAATACCTCCTCATTAAATTTAGCCGAGAAATTTTAGCTAAATTTTGCGGTAAATGTGTCGAAAATTTCCCGCTAAATGAGAGTGGAGCAGGAGAGGAGTGGCATACCCCCCTCCTCCTCCTCCTCCTCAAGGGCTGCGCTCTAATTCGGCATTCGAGAGAATTATGAAGGTTCCTTGTGACAATGGGTTGTTTCGCCCGCAGCGGAAGCACGTGACCTTGATGCGGCGCGTGGCCCAGCAAGCCGTCTCCGAGCTGGACCCTCGGGACCCGCGTCCGGCCCCGAGCCCCCCCTGGTGGTCGACGGTGTTCTCGAGCCGCTACAAGACCGAGCTCTGCCACCACCTGGAGGAAGAGGGACGCTGCAGCTTCGGTGCCGGCTGCGTGTACGCCCACTCCCGCAGCGAGCTCCGCCCTATCCAGAGGCACCCCAAGCACCGGTCCCAGCTCTGCAAGGACTACCATGACGACGTGAGTCCTGCCATGGCCTCTCCGCCCCGTCTGCTTTGCTTCCAGAGACTTCGTTAAATGAATAGACCAATCTCAAGAAGCGTTCCACGCATGCGTGACGCCGCCATAACTGTAGTTCGTAGGAGGCAGACGCCAGTTCACGAGGCAGCTCATGCCGCCTCGTGCTCCGCTCGCCCAGACCTCCAACAGGGTTGTCGCGCGTGCACAAAGACTACGGCTCCTACGATGCATGTCGGCAGCGGTGGCGTACTCAAACTAGCTGCGAGATCGGTCTATTCCTTCTGTGCGAACCGTTGCCGCCACGATAGAATCGAACCTCAATTATGTCATCTCTGTGTATTTTGAGCCCATGAAGGCATCCTCTTGATGAAAAGGCAGCGCAGCAGAAACCGGGGATTCCCGCTATGTTTATATTTGGCTGCATATTCTCTTCATCGGAGGCGTCAGTACTAATCGGGAGATGGGAGGGAGCGACATTTTCTTCCCCCATCGTCGTATTCTTAACATAAAATATTTTCAATGTCTAAGGGCAATCCCTTCCCCTTTCCCGGTTCCGACGCCACTGCTCTTCGTGGAAGGGCGGCTTCGGTGTCGCCGAAAAGAAACCTGGGATTGATCGGCGCGTAGCTATGTCGATCGAGCGAATGACGGTTAGTTTACTAAAGTCGAGGAAGCATTTCCTTCCCCGACGGTTATTCGAGTCACTGTACGGGTCAGGCGCGAGGCCAAAGTAAGGCTGCCTTCCGCGACTTTTCGCGCACGTTGGATGGTATCGCGGAGATCGGTAGACCCCTTTCTATCCGTTTTGCAGACTTAAAAATCTGGCGCGAAATTCACGTCCAGCAAAGATTTGACATCCGCCTGTCGGGCAGCTGGAACCCAGGCATTCATTAGCGCGCGACGAAGGGCGTGCGCACGCAACGAGAGCAGCAATGCCTTTTGCAGGTTCACCTTCGAAGCATTCCGTAGGATCCCGGGATGAGTATTTCGAAACACTTCCCCGTTGCCAAAAAAGAGTCTGCTGAAACAATTTACACAGACTTTTATACGTGCTGCCCTTACTAAATGTTCTGGGTGCAGGTTTTCTAAACAAAACGCGAAGAGAGAATAACGTGTTCGCAGAAGAAACAAACGCAGACAACAAGTGTGCTTTACGTCATCGTCCAAAATTTCGGAACCACCCGTCGTGGTTCCGAAATTATGGACGATGATGTAAAGCACACTTGTTGTGTGCGCACTCGGCTTGGTCGTACCGCACCGATCCTTTTCATAACATTCCCTGTTTTACTTTGCTGTACTCCTTTCACGCGCAGCTGTTTGTGAATGATACAAAATGCACGAAGATGGCGTAACACTCCAGTGAGTGCCGTGGCGTGGCTCTCCGGGTCCTGCGGGAGATCGGCCTTCGAACTCGGCAGCCCGTTCAGGTCGGCGAAGAGGGCTGTAGCTACACTTCGATGTTTCACGCAGACACCGAGACACTTGCTAGCGAAAAGGGGTCTCCGTCAAGAAGTACTCATTCGCGTCGCACATTACCGTGTTGACGATGTATAGTGCCTCACGTCAACATACAACCGGCAGAAACCGGGACGTATATTGGTGCTTCGTCCGGTCCCAGGGTAAATTCATTGGTGTCAAAGTAACGTACACTTTATAGGTATTTCCGGTGTTTTTTTGTTTTGTTTTTGTATGCCGTGTCTTCGTTCCCGAACTACAAGTGGATTTCCGAGAGCCATAGAAAGGTCTTCCGCAATGGCCGCAAAGTACAGGCAACGCCGCTTTGTTTACCACCGCCAGTCCCCGAGCTCGCGCCCAGAGCCATCCTCCAATCGCCTGCGCGGAAGATCAGAAGGCTTTTTCTCCGTATAGCGAGTATTCACTGGCGGCCATAGCTGTGTGCGCGACTGCTGAGCGCGTTCTGACGGCGTGCTTCCACAGTTCTTCCGACACGTGCATTCCGCACCACCAACATTGCCGGTCTTAGCGGCCTATTAACGTGAGCTCGTTCCGACTCCGAGCATGCGCTCTAAACATCGCCCTCAAATATGGCGTCCAGTGAATGCCCCCTATTGGTGGTGTTCACCGGACGCCATATTTGAGGTGGCTGCATGCTCGGGATGAGTTCTTACTAATGATCTCCCTAGGAAGACAATCTTGATGGTGTGCAATGGTGCGTGTTGCAAGTGTCGTAGAAGCTTGCCGCCAACACGTGCTCAGCAACAGCGAGCTCAAGTATGGCTGGCCGTGAATACCATCTATTCGCGTCTCCAGCTTGTTGCTCGCCCTCCCGCGGCGGAAGCCAGAAGCCAGTTCTCCTGCTCAGCGGATACGGCAAAACTGCTCGCGATCATAGCTCGCAAATTGTCGCTTCCGAATGTGAACAACTCTTCACATTCCCAATGTAGTGCTGGAGCCGGTACGGGATTGTACCTTAATAGAGAGTGTTAGTATTGCGTATAAAAGCAAACGCAAGCGCTGAGCGTTTGCTTTGAGTTGCGTGATCCCCGCATGCGCGTCGTCGCCATGCTCCAATCCAAAACCGCAATTTTGGGCTCCGCGCACGCGCAGTGGAGAACACTCAAACGCGGCGCCTGCGTTCGCTCGTATACACAATACTAAAACTCGCTACGGTGCCACCGGTTTCCAACGCCAACGAAACGTGCTGCAGTGAGCGGACGTGCAAGCGAGTAGGCGTTCCTTCCAACTGGAAAGGCTGAAAGTGGCGAAATGACGGCGCGTATAAAATTAAGAAACTTAATGTACTAAGAAAATTGGTCATAAAAAAATTCGTTTTTTTTCTTCTTTTGGCTCATATGGTCCGTTTGTATCGGAAGTTTGTTTGCCTTGGAAGTTTTGCCGATGGCCAAAGGTCGGGACTTTGATAGCACCATATGCTTTACCCACAATGAATGTAATGTTATATAAATCTGTAAGATAAGCTAGAATGTTTTCATAGCTTTTATACTAATTTTATTTTAGAACTTGGTATCTAAAAATGCTGCAGTTGGCACCAGTCATAATTTGCACACTTTTGACTGCCATACTTGTCCGTGCGTATGAAATTGGATCGTAAGCAACAAATTATATTAGAGCCTGAATAACCACGTATTAAAATTTTCCTAATTACATTATCATTATTAATACAAATTTCGGCAATGGAGGCCCCCAATAAACGCCATGATCGCAAAAATACGCCTCTTAACCGTAAGAATATTTTCCAGAAAGGTCTAATTTTGTTTTCGTTTTAGCAGATGAAAAACTCCGATATCGTTATCAAGATAGGTGGTCAAACACTGGATGTAATGTGAAGACATGCGTCAGGCGTTGCTTTATACAAAACACACGCGCACACTTCTGCTGTCAGTCTCGGGTTCTGTCTTTGGGTTTTTTGTAGTGAGAACGGCGTTTCTTAATGTATACGTTTTGTAAATATATATTCTACACTCATCACCCGTGGAAATATTCTGTAAAATTTGAATTGATTTTGTTACTCTCGTGCTGGAAATAATGTTAAATCACTGAGTCGGGGAAGATCGGGAAATGGAGTGCCAGTTCATGAGCAATAGTTAAAGGGAATCCCCGGAAGAATGCCCGACACGTATGTCACATAATCAGTGATCCTTTACCCAATTTACAGGAAAAGCTCGTGCGATGATTCCGCAGCACGCTTCGGGTTCGGCGCTTCGAAATAGAAGCACACGTCGGAATCGTTCCGAAGAGGAGTCTTGCCACGTGAATACTGCGCTAAAGATGTTTTTTTTCTCCGTCTCGTGACCTGCAAACATTTAAAAAAAAATTTTTTTGTGTGTTTTAATTTTTGATAGAAACAGGGTAGCTGGACCAGCTTGTTCGTAACAGCGTACATTTTTTTAGAGAGTTTACAATTACTTTTTTGTCGCTCCGATTGGCTTTGGAAAGAAAATGGCGGCGCGCACACACCGGCTCACGTTCCTGACGCGGCGTGAAGGCGGCGGTGCTGGCTGCGCAACGGCCCATGCGCGGAGGCTTGGATCCTCGATAAACAAACCCTCGCGCATGCCCCCTGCCCGCAACGACAAACGCGCTCGTTGAAAAGAAAAAGTATCTGCAGTATCGCCTGAGCGTAAAATGGCGAGTCGCTGAACGTCTCTTACTGCTCGTGCCAGATGCCCAGTAGATTGGCCAAGGATGTCCCTTGTTCAGGTTGTGGCATGAAAGAAGCCTCGCGGCATCCAGGGAGCTTAATCGAGTTCCCCTCCAACAGGGCTTCTGCAGCTTCGGTGCGCGCTGCAGCTTCATCCACGCCCAGCGCGACCTGGCGGCGCTGCTCGAAGAGATCGGTCGGAGTTCCGCCCACGTGCACCCGATGCCCGAGAACCCGGGCTCCCGCTGCCAGAGCCTCTCCGGGTCGTCCGCGCCTTCTGGATGGTCGTCGCCCGCGATGGCCGTCCCCGCCAAGCCGGCCAACTCTAGGAGACAGCGAGGCCGACCGGCTGCCAAGATCCGCGAGCCGCGTCGCAGCGTGGCGCCCTACCACGACGATCGGCCCGTTGCTCGGACCCCGACGCTCCTGGACCGGCCGCTGGAGCCCGGGTTTCGAAAGCGCTGGGGCGTCCACTGGCAGGAACTGCCTCGAAGGAGGCTCCAAGTCTTCGAGAACATGTGTCCTCAGAATTAAGAGCCGCCCTTCTGGACAACTCGCGTCTTAGAGCATACAAAGTGTCCATCTGTCTTAATTTTTTTTTTTTTTTGTATTGCTGGAACGCTCAGACGCTTGTGATTGTTTGCGTTGTCGTCTGCTCTAGGACTACGTGCTAGTGTTGAGCGTGGACACGGTGGATATGACCCCTAGCATGTATTCGTCCCTGTCCAAGGGATCATCGACGCAAAGTATCACGCGGTGGTATGATTTTTTTTTGTATCAAATATGTTGACATGTACAGTCGCAAACTTTTTATGTAATGTTGGTCTGTCGTCTACTTTTGGACCACAAAAACTGTTAGCGTGGGCATAGAGGTTATGCCACATTGCGCGTCTTATTCGGGTCAAAGAAGCGATGTGAATGTGTTCGGCGGATGTACCATTTTTGCTTCTAAGATCCAATGTTGTGCATTATGACTACATGTAGAATGGTACGATACGTTTGTATACAACCAACTTTCTTATTGTCATTATGGCATACGTGCCTGTTCACTATTATTTCTTTCGGAAAGCTCAAATTTTGACAATGCATATTACACACTGTCTGCGTTAACAACGAAGATCACTCGTCGGAACGTGGTGACCTTTACGTGACAGTGCGTGGCGCGCAAAGTAGCATGAATTTACGCGAATGTCATACGACGGGTCGTTTTAAATCCCATCTCTAAGATGCGGACGTTCTACTGTACGACTCGGCATGTAACGGCCGGAACGACATTTTTTTTTTTTAATATTGCTGACACCTGTATTGTAATTGTCTGAGTGACTCGACTATTTATTTCAAGATGGTGTACGGTTATGAACGTTGGTTTGTGCCGTCCGTTTAAAAACGTAAGACATGCTCTTAGCACGCAAGCTGCCTTTGCAGTTTTTTATTGTTGGTGGGAAATATTGACACAGGCGCGTCATGTTTTTACACATGAAATTATAGGTTTTCACACAAGTTTTTTTGTTTTTTTTTGTCAAACTGAGTTATAAATTTTAGCGAAGCAAGCAAAAAAAAAAAGTACTCTTATTGAAAGGCGAGTCGAACGATTACGCATCACTGCAAAATCTCAAGATTCTTATTATAACGGTGGAAAACTCAATTTTAGGCGAACTATTGAATAATAACCCTGAGATTTTAAAGCATCAGAGTTAACCGCTCGCGCTAAAATGCGTGCAAAAAAAAAATTACTGGTAGAAAAGATTTTATGAACTCATCCCTTTCTATTTTTGTTCTAAAATCAGATATCAGTCGTCATAGTTTTTGCATTGCAACTGGCTTCATTGAAATGGTAAGGTAGCCCTTTCAAGTGCAAAGGATCGGACGAAGTCGGATTGTGTCAAGTTTTGTTCACCTCAACCGAGTGTTTGCACAATTTATTGATCTCGTAGAACTGTTTACTTGCTGACAACGCATGAATGTGCCAACGAAGTGCAGTTCTTTCTTAATTTTTATTGAGCTTCAACTTGAGATTCGCCCTCGATATTTATTTCTCGCATCACCCGAGACTGATCGAAATAAAATGCTCTGACGTCGGCGAGTGCTGGTCTTCTTGAAGTGTGCCAAAGTGCCTCGTGTATGGAAAGCTTTGGCGAAATAAAATGTTTTCTCAGAGCCACGCAGCCGAGGGCTTTACAGCCTAGTCGACAAAGTACAGCTCAATACCGAACTCTGATACCGAAAGACGGATCAAGCTGTAACTCCTCCGTAAAAGTATTTCAGAGTGCACGATTGCACCATTGCTCGTTTCATCATTTCAGGTATGTTGGACGAAGACGACGTTTCGTGTTCTCCATCGGATGAAATGTGGGAGCTACGGAAAAGGTTTTGGCGGCGTTGTTTGGCTCGGTAAGCGGCCAAGAGAGGACGAAGTAGCCGTCATGAAATGGGACTTGCTCCGAAGAAACAAGAAAGCCCGCGGCTTTGAACTGGGAAACGTACCGGGAAACAAATGCGGCTATAGAAATGGGCGCCTTCGCAATCGGATCTCTTCTCTAAGCTCTACCCTTATACGAGCCTCTTAAGCTTTTTTTCTTTTTTTTAAAGATGGGGGCGTTTTTTTTTTTCGGCATTTTTGAAGGAATAATATTAATCCGCTCTTCCCGCTTTTCTTATTACTCCAATATAAAAATATATTCTTTTATCAAAATACTTTTAATAGAAAACAAGGAGAGAAAAAAGTTTATACAATAAACGAACGATAGCAAGGTGGTACACCAGCGAGTTTGTACTGGTTGAACACGATGAAAAAATAGCGCACAAAAACGCGAGGACAGGGACAGGAACGGGACACAGCGCTTGGATGTCTTCAGTGTTCTGTTCCTGCCCTCCTCTTTTTGTACGCCATTTTCTCATCGTGTTTACACAATAATATATCACCCCCCCCCCCCCAAAAAAAAAAAAAAAAAAAAAGAACTACATGAACTTTTTTTGCTGTGTTACGACGCCGGTAAGTCAACGAATGAGGCAAGAACTATTTGTGTAACTATTTCTATATTCGAAAAGCACGTACCAGTTCGTTTTATATTCTCTAGTTAACCGCCCCATGGCAAATCCCTTTGGCAGGGATTTCCTCGCGTGTTTGAGTACCGACCGCTGAACGCTTCGAAGTAACGCAACCAGCCAAGAATAATTTGCCGAAGTTGCCTCAGCGCGCCGTCGAATTCCGCGCACCGAAGCAGTCGATTGCGTCGACGCTGATTGCCGAAACACCGAAGACGAATTTCGGCCACAGTCAGTATAAATAATGCGCGCAATTTTGTTGAAAATTGAGTAAAAAGGGAGAAGGTGTTATGACTGAGATCCCGCTGTCATGAGAGCTTCAACAGTATCCGCGTGGGGAAAGAAGTGACGCCGCGCCGATCTGTAAGCAGAAGCCGTTACGTGATTTTTGTAACGGCGGTGATTTTAAAACTCGGCCTTGCCTGGTGATCAGTGTGCTCGTTAAACCCGTGGACCGCTTAATAGAGCCACCTTGTGCGTGTTAAATTATCCAATGTCGTCGAGCGAGCACCTGCTTGCAAGCAGACGCGGCAGATGCCGTGATTGTCGTTTTGTAGATACTTAACGTGTCCCCACCACGTGTACCTCGGCTAACCACTGTAGTATATGACACTCCTTGTATGTTTTACTCGAGCTGTTCTCCGGAGCGCCATGCTATGAATTCTATTGAATCTTAGTGGCTTTAAAGGGATGCTGAACCGAAATTGGAGCCCACAAAACAAGGCATGGAGCGATAGACGGGACGCTGCAAAACCCCCAAAACATCGCTCATACAGCGATATCCGTAACGGACGGCCGCATTTTTGCCGAAGAGGCCGAGGAGTCATGTCGCGTCACGATGCTCATTCCCTCTCATCGTCGCTTCGTCCCCTCGAGTTGGTGAATCGAAGCGAGGAGGAGAGAGGCGAGGCCTCTTCTCCTCATTCTCAACTGTTCCAGGAGGATCGTGACTTCATAGCGCTCGCCTGATCGCGCCCTTGTTTTCCGAAAATACAGCCATCCGGTGGAGATATCGATGTATGAGTGATGTCTTGGAGTTCGCAGCGTCCCGTTCAAATCTTCTGCGGTCATATTTTGCGAAATCCAAATGTCGGTTCAGCATCCCTTTAACGCCTTCCATCTGGCAATTACACGTAAAAACAAAAAAAAAAAAAAAAAAATACAGAACATAGTAAAAGTAATCCTGTGGGATGTATACGATGATAATGCAATCAATGCGACTAAGGTTCCCATTCTCCGAGGATTATTATCGTCAGGAATGTATACGCTGCCAACTTGTAGAGCTGAGAACATATCCGGCCTCCGTGTCTACTTCTACAGACAATGTAGTTTAGCACGTAATTGAGCTAGATTATGCATTTGACACACAGCAAGGTGTTTTCCTTTTGACACAAGAACCCTATATTTGTCCGCACGCAAATCGTTTTTTATTTATTTTTTATTTGTTTAAGAGCTCAGTTTTTAGGCGCCCTTTTCGGCTTGAGCGGCGTCGGCGTCGCTCTCGGCGTAACCGAAACGCGTCGGCGTAACGCTTTTTCGTGACGCGTCAGTGTTACCGTCAGCGTAGCCGGAACGCGTCGGCCTGACGCGCAGCCGTCGGCGTAATCGCGCGGTGCATTATGGGAAACGTGCTATAATGCAACGCGCGGGAGGTAGGAGGGAGAGGAGGGAGGGAGGTGGAGGAGGAGGAGGAAGGAGGAGGAGGAGAAAGAAAGAGGGGGTGAGGAGCAGGGGAGGAGTAGATGAGGAGGGAGGAGGAGAGGAATACCGTCCCCTCTGTACCCTCCCCTCCTCCTCTTCCGCAAGAGCTGCGCTCTAAATCGGCATTACGGAGAGTTCTAAATGTCTTTCCTTTTTGTATTTGTAACTTTGGTATGAGGCAAGTTTTCGCTTCATCATTTACGCATATAAAATGCACAACCTAGTCTCCCTACGTGGTAAATTCCAGTGTCGGAGCTCGTGAAATTAATTTTTTTCCCCTTACTTCAGTTTGGTTCCATTCATTTAACTCATCCCGCTGCAGTTCTGAACTTTGCCCTTTTTTGTTACTACGTTTTGAGGAGTAGCGTTGTTGCGTAGGAAGCATGACGAGTTGGTTCACTTCTTTCGTTTGCCGAGCCCGACTTTTCCCGAGTCGTGGGTAGTGCACTCATCTCTTGGTGTCCGATCATCATGTGGCTGACCTGTTCTGTCCGTCCCCGTGGGTCTCGTCTCGCTCGAAGCTCTCGGACACGAGACGGGCCTTTCCAGTTTCGCTTCTTTCCAGATCGTTCGACCCGATCCCATTTTGTCACCTTCTTCGAGTCGTCTTGTCGTGTCCGACAGACACCTTCGATCGTCTCGAGCCGTTCTCTCGTCCTTTTCGTGGCGCGGAGCTTTCTCTTTTTTTCTTTTTCTCGGGCTTTTTTGTAGGCCTGCTTACTCTGTATAGAGCTTTGAGTCTTTTCAATGTTTTATTTCTTGTCAAGCGGTGCTCGGACACCTCCTAATCCTTTTCAGTGGAGCTCATTCTCTTTTTTGTTTGTTTTGACGAGGTCTTGGTTTCTTTGGAGTAGTTTTCTTTTTTTCTTTCTTCTTCTCGTCGCTTTCTCTTTCGACAGGTTTGTCTTGGTTACGTTTTAAGTCGCCCACGCGAGGAGCTCGATCCTCGGTCGAATCACGAGCGAGTTCTTCGGCAGTCGATTTTCTCTCAGCATAGGCCCGCGGCGTTCTGTCCAAGAAGACAAGAATAAAAACAGTCTTCGGAATTTAATTTCTTTTGTGTTTCCGCGCGCTACCGGATTGCCCACGGTTCATTATTGTAAAGAGGATTACAGGATTTAAACAATGACTGTCTACAATAATGAAACAAAGTGTGACTGATACAAGAAAAGGCGGAACACAACGAAGTTACGATCGTCCACAGGGCATTAGATCAACAGCCACCAAGTAACGGTGAGTTCAACGTGGCTCAATATCAAAGCATCGCCTCTCGGATTACTTTAGTGAAAAATATTCACCAACAAAGGTCAACGCGATAGTCAACGTTTTGCACTTTAATCAGAAAATATTGAGTTGGACGTTTTTTTTTTGATGCACCAAAGAAATGAATCCCACACGCTAGAACCGGCTATTTCAAATAAGAAATGGGTAAGACTTTCGTTAAATGGCCTACAGATATGAAATATGTACACAAGGACAATGCATCGAGCTGCACTCACACACACACCTGATAGCCATCGTTAGTTACACAATTGGAGATATTGGAGACACGATCTATCTGTTATATGGCGTCTTTTAATTGTAGGCATCGCGTATGTGAACAAACCCAAGCAATGTACGTTTGCGCTGCTTTGCGTGACACACTGCGTTCGCTCCTAAACTCTCTACTTCTCGAACTTCTTTTACATGTATCGCTGGAGTCGCCTCGTCAGATATTATTGCCTTTAGATATCTCCTATAATAATTATTCTATCCTCGTATTGAATATATTGCAAATTAGAACAACAAAAAACAGGTTTCAGATCCCGAGTGGATAGTTTTACTAAGCACGTTTATGTATTAGCTGGTTTCCCAGCAGAAATACAGTAAGTTCTCTCTCTGACAAAGCGACTCGAAGTATGCATTTTTTTAGCCAGAAGGCCGCCATGGGAATTAGCACTCAAGCGTAGCATCTTTTGTCCTTCGAGTAACTCATGGTGTGCTTTTTGACAGACCCTCTTTTTGGCGTCTCCCCCCCCCCCCCCCCCCCCTCCCTTTTTTTTTTCGTTCCCCCAAAAAATCACAAAAAAATATTTCATTAGCGCAATTTATTGTGTCAACACCTTCCATGAAGTCAGAGCTTTAGAAAGTCCAGTGCGTGTACTTTTCACAGACTACGCTTTGATCTGTAGTATATATATTGTTACGGAAATGCGGGGCCGGCAGGAGAAGACAAGGATGTTCACATAATGACGCCGAATTATTTAATGGTGGCAGGGCCGGGCGCGCGGGCCTGGCGTGCGATAGGGGTGCACAGCACTGCCGCAGCGGTCGTCATCCTCATCGTCACATTATACTTATATTTATAAAATGGGCGTGGGGGCCGAAGGCGGAGGCAAAAGGTGGTAGAGAACCTTCGGTGTATATATAATGGTATAAAGAACATTCGGTGAAACAACAACGAACGGGCATACTTCGACATTTCGGCCGGCCTCTGACCGAAACGTCAAAATGAATATATATATATATATATATATATATGAGAAGAAAAAAACCCTTAGTGAAAAACAGCAACAACGGACGATTTAATCTTCGACGTTTCGGCCGGAGTCCGGCCTTCGTCAGGAAGGCCGGACTAACAGTCTTCCTGACGAAGGCCGGACTCCGGCCGAAACGTCGAAGATTAAATCGTCCGTTGTTGTTGTTTTTCACTAAGGGTTTTTTTCTTCTCAGTTTTATACCCACGCCTTCGGCCTCCCGCCACCATATATCTATATATATATATATATTTGTATATACACATAACCTGAAGAAAAACGGTCGCCGTTCGGAACGTCGTCTAATTAATACGTTTTAAAGCATTTAACTTCTTTTTAAGATATATGTCTTCTATATACCTGCGAGATGTAGGTTAATAAAAGGGCGTAAGCGATATTCGGTTTGACCTAACGCGGCTGGCGCGGGGGGCAAAGCAGCAAGCGAAACGCTCACTGTTCTATGATAACGGTAATGCACATACCGGAATGGAATACAAGTATGTCTTACTGGCACTCAATATAAGGAGATAGTGCAGAATGAAAGCACCAACAAGAGACGGAATATATCGTGTCGAGGTTAAATGCTTTAGGAAATATCCTCTAAACTGTGAGAACATTTTTTTTTAAGCTCTCACAAAGAGATCTCTTACGACCACATTTCGAGCTAAAACTTCTGCGTGCATCTAATCAGTTTCTAAACCTTGAAGTAACTAAGAATGAAACTACTCTTGCCGAGTGGTACGAAAGGAGGTCAGACTATTTGTCTTGACAGTTTAGAATGTGGTATTTATACTTTGAGCTGGAATTGTGAACTCTTTTCACTATTAACAGCCTTTCATTGCCAACTTTCACGGTTAATGTAGCATCTACTTATGTATTAACTGTTCAGACAGTCCGCCCCTCTCCCCTTGAAAATACTGTAAATCTGGCTTAGAGCATTTTTACGAAGGTGTCCGAAAAATAAGCAAAGTTAGATAATGTCATACATGACGTACGACAGAAGACGTGAGCTATATCACACGTAAGGTAAGCAGTTGGCGTCTTACAAATATTGAGATGAGTAGCTTTTGTAATCCTGTAAATATAATAATCAGATGGCCAGAATAAAAGGCCCATTTTCAAATCGGAACGTAAATCATAAAAAAAAAAGATACGTGTGATATTTTGAAGCTGTCATCGTACTAAATTTGTTTTTTTTTTTTAAATTTTCACTATAACGACATGAAACTTTTGAAGTAATCGAAAACGTAACGACTACTTTGTGAAATACATTTCAATGTATTTTTCTCTCAAGTAATCACATAATATAGCTGAGTACCTTTTTACCTGGAGTAATTGTAGTTCTAAAAGATTCCTTTTGTTGCGTAACGTACACAGTTCTGGACTGCCTCGGTAACTAGTAGTTCTGGAGTAGAGTGGAGGCCTTTTGACTAACACTTCGGTGGGTTTCAATGAAATGACTCTTTCTTCCGCACTCTAAAAAAAGTTTCTGCGTCTACTTTCACGCACAGAACTCGGAGAGCCAATCACGGCAACTCACGGAGGCAGTTCAACGAATGACGATGCCGAAACATATGTTTAGACCAAAAAACGCATTCTGAGTTGTGACATTAAGCAATGCAAGCATGACGTTTTGCACTGCCTAATGTCACAACTCAGACTGCGTTTTTTGGTCTAAACGTATGTTTCGGCATCGTCATTCGCTGAGCTGCCTCCGTGAGTTGCCGTGATTGGCTCTCCGAGTGCTGTGCGTGAAAGTAGACGCACAGACTTTTTTTAGAGGGTGCACTGCATCACCTAGCAGCTGTGTTGATTGCTGTAACTTATCTCAGTTTCATTATAAAAATTTACTCTCAAACATGAAAAAAAAAAAATAAGTATATGAATGCACATCAACTCCCTCGTACCACGCCTGGGGCATCCACTAGGATGGCTAGGTTGGACATTTACATGCACGTTCGACGTAATGGCGTCCGATTGGTGAAGGCAACTGGCTCCTCCAATCAGACGCCGTTACGTCACTTCCGTGGATCCTCTAAAACGTACACGCACATGTCCAACCTAGGCATTCTGGAGGAGTGTTGAGTTCCCGTAGGTGAAGTGAAAGTGGCCATGCCATGATCCAGACCCGGGAAATGTCGATAATGTCGTTATTCCGGCATCTGTCGAGGCAACAGTAGTAGCATTGATTGGAGGAAACGGCGATGTAATTGTTTCAATACCGATGACGGCGCTCCAGGGTGAAGCTAAGGGGCAACCTTGGATCGTAAGGCGATGTGTCACGAAGTTAAAAAGGTTAACGCGACGCTGTGCATCGACACATTAGCCTAATGGCTTCGTCTGCCCCGACGGCGTTGGCTCTCTGCTGAGGCATCTACGGGAAATCCGGACTTCTCCATCGGACCTTCAATCAATCAATCAATCAATCGAGTTTGGTGTCATGAGTTGCATCGTACAATTCATTGAGAACCATCTGGGCCCATAGCCTTTTGGCTAGTTTGGGCCCATTTTAATAATAACATATTAGGAAGGCAGCACTCTTAAGAAATATTACTGGAAATACAATAAAAGGAAAAGAAAAAAGAAAGAAAGAAAGACAATAGAAAATAAACGTAGAAAGTGACTTGTTCAACTATATCCGTTAATTTATACATTATATAATAAAAACACGAGGAGCACGAGTGTATTCAAAGTGAAATGAATTTTTATGAATTCAATAACAGAATATGCGATTGAGTTTCAGGATGGTGGGAGGCATGTTTTATTTAAAAAAATATAGTATTTCAAAGCGCTGTTAAAGTTGCCTGACTGGGTGACTGAAGATGGTAAAGTGTTCCAGATTTTAGTTCCGCATGATTGCATCAGTCGCTCGCCGTATACGTTACGAGACCGTGGTATGTTAAAGTGACCAGATGTGTTCGCCCTTGTTAATCGGTTACCCTTAATTAAGATGTTCGCTGGCAGTGGATTGTTTGATTTTAAAATATTATTTATTAAGCAAGCAATCTTATATTGTTTAATTTCCAGAAATGTGAAAATGTGAAGTTGATGAAATATAATATGAGACGGTTGGGAATAGTGGGAGTATGTCAAGATTCTGAGGGCTCTCTTCTGTAATTTAATCAATGGCAAAAGGTAAGTGTCATAAGTTACGCCCCAGGCCTCAATACAATATGTTAAATGACTATGAAATATAGCAAAATATATAAGTTTTATCGTGGGAGTGTCAAAGCATTGTCTTGCCTTCAGTAAGACATAACAAGCGTACGTTAACTTTTTACATGTATTTATAATGTGCTGTTGCCAATGAAGATGAGAATCTAATGTTACTCCCAGATATTGAAATGAACTAACTTCTTCCAGGATTGAATTTCCGATGCAAATTCGGAAGCTGTCGGTATTAACATCTTTTTTATTGGAACGAAGAACTATATACTTAGTTTTATTTATATTTAAAGTCAATTTGTTAGAATTAAACCACTCCTGGAGAACTGTAAGTTCTTGATTGATTGTGTTTTGTAAGTTATGCAATGAATGGTCCGTGTAAATGAAGACGGTATCATCAGCGTACATTATTATGTCAGAGTTTAAAGCCATGTTAGGTAAGTCATTAACGTACAATGAAACGAGTATCGGTCCCAGTACAGAACCCTGGGGAATTCCGGTGTTTATTTGTCTCATCGAGGATTTATGATCTAACAAAGAAACGAATTGCGAACGAGATGACAAATAACTTGTAAAGAAATTTAAAGAGTGACCTCTGAAACCATATCGTTGTAATTTATTAAGAAGAATTTTATGGTCTACGGTATCAAATGCCTTTTTAATATCTAAGAATACACCGATACTAATGTTATTGTCATTTAAGGACTCATTTATTTTCTGAGAGAGAGAGATAACACTACTAGCAGTTGACTTATTTGGACGGAATCCATGTTGATGCGGGGTGATAATATTGTATTTTTCTAAAAATGAGTTAATGCGTCGTACAATTAATCTTTCGAATAGTGTATTAATCGTGCTTAAAACTGATATAGGCCTATAATTTACAGGTTCATTAACGTTCCCACATTTATGTATTGGGCAGACTTTAGCGATTTTTAGTGAATCTGGATATACACCTTCTGTTATAGAATGGTTAAAGATATGTTCCAATGGAGAGCTAAGTACATCAATATTGCATTTTAAGACCTTAACTGAGATGCCATCAGAACCTGCAGATTCTTTATTAGACATTGAATTAACTAGATTTATAATTTCTATAGTCGTAATTTCTTCGAAAATAAAAGTTTTTGGAAGGAAGTCAGGTAGAGAAACGGAATGTGCACTGCCGCTGGCAATGTTGTTAGCTAGGTGGTCTCCAATATTAATGAAGAAAGAGTTGAATGCGTCTGCAGTCTCATCCGTGACTATAACAGGAGTTGTTTGCTTTTGCGATCTTGGCTTAATAACAGAGTTAATCACATTCCACGTTTTCTTGAAGTCCCCATGACTTTCGGATATAAGTTTAGAGTGATATTCTTTTTTACGCGTTCTTATCAGTGATAGAGATAGGTTGCGATGCATTTTGTATTGTGCCAAGTAGTAAGAATTATGTTTATGACGTTTCAGTTTCTGCTGCCACATGTTCTTCTCTTGAAGTGCGCATAAAATTTGACGAGTCATCCAGGGGCAGATCGGTTCTGAATAATGTGGTTTTCTTAATTCACTCGACGAATCAGCGATTGCAGTTTTTAATACTGTGATAAAATTTCCAAATTCGATGTTGATATCTGAATTGAATAGTAAATCAAAGTTAAATGCCGATAATTTTCTATGCAGAAGTTCGTAATAAATGCGATACCTTAAATGGGGTGTACTAAAGTGAGGTGTTTCTTCAGCGTTTATAGGTAGAAATAGGAATATTGGAAAGTGGTCGGCAATGTTTGTCTCATATACACCAGCACCGTCGTGTGCGTCTCGATTACATAAGATGTGGTCAATGAGCGTGGATGAATCAGGTGTCACTCTTGTTGGTTCTGTTATTACATTCGTAAAGTTAAATGACTGTGTTAGAAGTAGATAATCTGAGGGCACAGTTTTACACAAATCGATGTTGAAGTCACCACAAATGACAGATTTCTTACTGCTTTGAGAAATAAATGTAAGAATATCTTCCATTTTATTTAGGAACAAAGACATAGATGAATCCGGCGGTCTATATACAACAGCCACCACGACACCATAACCTTCAAGAGTAATCAAGGAGCATTTGGGCTTCCGTGCCAGGAATATTATTTCAATCACGCACCCTTCTCTTGCGTCTCAAACGTTTAGGAAATACCGAAAAAATATATTCCTGCTTGGCATATATTTAGATTTTTAGTTTTACTTGGATGATTGAAAGGATAAAAAAAGCACTACTGAGCGATCTGAGTCCGATTTCTAAACTATAATGGAACTAAAAGGCCAGACGATCAACCCGGCATAAAAATATTGAAAACAAAATACAAAAAAGAAAATATGAGACAAATGAATGATATCTCTCCTAAATTGTTTTCTCAGACGGACGCCGCCCGACCTACAAAAAGTTTTTTTCGCAGGGTAGGAAAATCAATCCTCCTTGCCACCCTTCACATTTCCTCGTCTCCCACTTATATAGACCTTTTCTGTGTACTCTCGTGTCCAGCCACCTAATAGGTGTATCCGCTATTGACGACGAAAAAATAATCCAACGTTTCAACCTGCAAATAGTAAAAAATAAAGGGGAGGCAAACCGAGAAAGTGCGACGGTTACGCTTATATCCTAAATGTCTTCTATTGGCGTGGCAAAGGCAAAACAATGTTTTCGCCCATACTGGAAGTGACGTCGATTCAAGATGGCGGCGCACCTGCAGAAAAGGTCTATATCGACTGCAGCAGACTCGTTTTGCTGCTGCCTCCTGGGAGCAAGATAAGCCGAAATAAGATTCCGGCTTATCTTGCCCCAAGAGGATTCCAGGTCAAAATGTCAATCGAGACGAAATGTTCCTCGAGTCAAAACGTCCAATATTGGGCATTTTGACTGGAAATTTCGTCTCGATGGACGTTTTGACCCGGATGAACACTCTGACTTGATGGACATTTCGTCTCAATAGACATTTTTACCTGGATCGACATTTTGACGCGATCGATATTTCGTCCCAATGAACATTTTAACCCGTTAGACAGTTTACATGGCTGACTCACATTTTAAGAATGGTGCTGACAGAGACTTGAATACATAAGCAGAATATATACACACGCGTTTTTTTTCACAAACGGACATAATCTGACCTCCTGTGCAAACCTGAGTGACATTTTTTTTATTTTGTGACAACCCGTATTTTTCTGTGCCAGATATTCAGGAGAAAACAAATTTCTTTAATTAAAAAAAAAAAAAAACTGAAAAAAAAAAAAAAAAAAACGTTGTGGCCCGCTCAGCCTCCGGCAGAACGTGCCCAGTGGATGGAACAAGATGCCGAATGTTCGGAGAAAAAGTGGTTGAAGTTTAGACGGTGTGAGCGATTCTCAGAAAAATAAAAATGCCAATGACAAATAGCTAGGTACGTTCACTGACTTCAGTTGTACAAACTTAGCAATTTGAAAACAATGATGAGTGACTGGTCTCGCGAATAATTCACCCCACGCTAAGGAATACGTGGTATACTGTTCTTAATATAGAAAAATCGTTGGAGAAATTCAAGAAATATCGAACTCGCGAGAAACCTTTAGTTCACTGTACGCACGGTCTCTGTTGGCCGTTAGTTCAACATTAAGATATATAACGCTTTCTTGTGAACACCTCGGCTCCGGTATTGAACTGCTGGACTTACGTTCTGGAAAAGTTTACTTAATGTTAGCGTTCGGAAAAACAGGATAACAGGCTGAAGTTGAGCTAGTTGGTACATAATTTAGGTAAATGGTCAGCTAGAACGAGAGGGACAAACACAGACAGGTAGAAACAGAGACATACACACCGCTGACTATCAACTAAGACTTTATATTTCTTCTTCTTCACTGTGACCCACAAATTCACACCTAAAGTAATGCCAATGAATGACCCTAAATCCTTACAGTACACTATTAAATGAAAATACTAATTAAATAATATTAAATTAAAATTGAAACTAATTAATTACATTAAATTATTAATTATTATTTTTTTTTGGTACAACCCACAGACCACCGCCGAAACATGTCCCTCCTAGTCCCTTTCACGGCGCCGTGCCACACTGCAAAAACTGTCTTTCTTTCTTGCTGACCGTGATGGAGGGCATGCTCACGCAGTCTTCGCCGGTTTGCTCAATGGCCAGGGCCTCGAGGATCTCGCGCGCGAAAGCATTCCTGTGTCTGTTCATAATGGAGACGCTACTAAACTGTGGCCTGCACCCGCACGTGCGGCAATGGGCAAGGTGCCCTGCTCCCGTGCCTTGCACCGACGCCGCGTGCTCCCTGACTCTGTCGTTAACGCAGCGTCCCGTCTGCCCAATGTAGCAGCTCCCACATGACATAGGAATCTTGTATACCACACCGGTCTGGCACATGGTGTACTTATTCCTGTGTGCAGTATTGCAGGTTGGCTGGCGGTTCGTGGCCCGATTTACTTGGCGGCACATAGAGTTCCCTCTGTTCGGTGCCGAGCACACCACGCTGACGTTTTGTCGTGCAGCGATCTTTTTGAGCCGGTGGGTGACACCGTGGATGTAGGGGACTACTGCGAAGTTCGCTCGTGAAGTCTGTCTGTCTCGCTCGGTACTGGGTGATCCTCTTGAAAATTTCCTGCAAATTGCCTCACATACGGCTCCAAGGAGGACACCTGGGTACCCGGAGTCACGAAGCCGGGCCATCTGCTTCTGAAAGCTGGCGTCAGCTTGATGGTTGCATGACTTGCGCAGCGCTGACACGAGTGCCCTGTTGGCAACACTCCGTTTTACGGTTTTCGAATGGCAGGATGCAAACGGAAGAAAACCTTTACTGGAACGAGGTTCGTACCTCCAGCATACATGTCCATCCTTAAACTCAAGTGCGAGGTACAGGAACTTAATAGACTTGCCCACGGGTAGTTCATGAGTGAAGAGCAGGTCGGGGCAACATTCGTGGAATGTTTTCATGATCGTGCTCCTGCATCCGTTTTCTTCACTTTCGATGTCTGTGCTGCACAGGATCAAGAAGTCGTCCTCGTACCTGAAGATGGCTTTTACTCTAGCATCGTTCAGTGTGGATTGTATGTGCCTACCACACGCCGCCAAGAACAGATCGCATAGATGTGGTGCCACTCTAGACCCAATGCATATCCCACTTCTTTGGACGTAGTCTAGACCTTCATGCGAGATCACGGTCGCCGTTAAATATACCCCGAGCAGTTCCAAGAAGGCGTCTATGCTAATCCCT